ATATGTCCTGACTATCATATTGAAGGTCTCAGAAACGTAGATCCTCCTTTCTCACTTACTTTGGCAGAATAATAAATCTTTGTCCAACTTTAGAGACTTCAGACTTTTACACTTGTAATTCAACACCAGCTTCCCTTCTAGCTTGACATTGGGTAACACTTTATATGAAGGTACCCAAATTACCCATTAACTAGTTGTTAATTAACATGCATATTAGCAATATACTGGCTCTTTATTAGTCAGTATAAAACACTTAGTAATGCCTTATTCCACAAGACCATATTCTACAAGTTAGCTAAGAGTTTGTCCTCAATAACCCTCTAATTAGTGCTTATTTATTGTACGTACGGAAGTTGTTGTACATGAGTTAGAGCAGGGGGGTCAAACTCAAATACACAGTGGGCCAAAATTAAAAAATGGGTACTAGTGGAGGGGCCGGACTGGTTCAATGTTTATTGCAGAACTTATTGAAATGAACTTATTGCACATATTAAACCTGGAACTAACAAAGCTTAAATGATTGCCTATAAAAACAACATTAAATTTAAATAATCATTCATTTCTTATGGCTCTATCTGCAGCTTCTCCAGAGTCATTTCTTATGAGTACATTTCTCCACAGGCCAACAACAGCTTCAACAAAACTATTTCCCTCAAAGAACAAACCAAATATGCCCTGTTGTCGTGAGAGAGAAAGTGCAGAAGGAAACATGTAAACTCAGTGTGCTGCTCTGTGATGCTAGCTCAGATACTTGGCATCTCATCTTGGGTGCAAGGTCATCAATATTTGGGGTCAGGCTCTGAGCTGAGGAGACCCTCAGGATGGAGTGAAGGTGTGCGTGCAATATACCGGAGGGCCAGATCTAATAGAAATTAGAAATTATCCTGCGGGCCGAAATTAAATCCACCAAGGGCCTGATTTGGCCCCCGGGCCTCGAGTTTGACACATGTGAGTTAGGGTCTTAATTTGCTCAATATGGGCGTAATGAGGCATTCTCTCATAACACCTAACAAATATGATCTATTCTTATGTAACAAGACGTGAAACTAAAAGTGTTAATTGAGTCAAAATAACTCATAATGTGTTTTTTCTAACTCAGAATATGTTCCCTATTTTAAAGTGAAGTCTTGTTCATAACTGATAAGCTATTAGTTTGACTCTAATGTGATAATGAACAACTAGTTGATGGTGAATAAGTGTACCTTAATCTAAAGTGTTACCTGACGTTGTTTTTGCATTTGTTTGGCTCTTATAAAACTATCATGATGAAATGATATATAATGTATATCTATTGTTCTCAAAGGAAGATCTGTTCTGTTTCTAGTTGTGAAATAGGATAAATGCAGTCGGTATGAATCATATAGCTTCCTGGTTTCTCAGGTGGTCGTTTTTCCGTCAGCAGATGTTGAAATCCGGAAGATGACTGAGGCTTTTCTCCTAAATTCCTGACGTTGTCTCTTTCTGTTCTGCAAATCATCGCTTTGTGATTTGTTTCCTAAGAAGTAGAATTTAATCATTTAGTTGCTATTCTCGAAGACACTAAACATTTGAAGATGACATGTTACTTCGTAGACGCTTTTATCCAAAGCGACTTCCATACTCAATACTGTGGACAATCCCCACAGGAGCAATTTGGGGTGAAGTGTCTCAGGGACACAACGACATGCTGACTGCAGAGGGGTTTGAACCTGTGCTCCCCTGATCCCAACACCAACGCACCACTCCACTGCGCCACAGCCTCCCTTAAGATAACATTAAAGGGAACAACAGAAGAAGACAGAAAGACAGGACAGCCTTGAACAGTTACAGTAAACCTCCATCAGAGTTGCCGTCATTTTAAGTTACATTGCTGTAGCGCCAGTTCAGCCGTTGGCACGCAGTGGAAGGGACTATTTGTTCTTATTTGAAGCAATAAGATAATTTTAAATCAATAATATGACGGGTTTTGTTTTCCCCGGATAACAGGAGCACTGCGCCCTCAAACCAAAATGCAGATTTTCCCCGTAAAAATGTTAAAGTGATCAGAAAACTATATTTCTGTTCCTCAGAAACTGTAATTCCTCCAGAAATCTGAGTTTCAAACCGAGCGTCAGACGGCAGAGACAGCTTTGTTTTACGGAGCTCTGACGTCACGTTGTTATTTACGTCTCGTTGTTGTTTACGTCAGGAGACATCTTGTTTACAGAGTCATGTTCTCAAGAAGATCTTATTAACAAGATCAGAGACACAGAACTCATGCTATATATCTGTGTAGAGAAACCCCTGATGTGAGTCAAGTCGTTGGTTCATGTTAGGAAACATCTCCCTGGTCCCCGGCTTGAGCTTCAATCTCAGGATCCATGTATTTATGATCCTCTCCAGAATGAAAGTAGTCCAAATCTAAAAAATCTGGCTTTTTCTCAAAAATCTCCTAAATCTGACTTTTTCTAAAAAATCTAAAAAATCTGACTTTTTCTAAAAAATCTCCAAAATCTGACTTTTTCTCAAAATCTCAAAAATCTGACTTTTACACACAAATCTAAAAAATGCTGACTTTTCTCAAAAAATCTGACTTTTTCTCAGAAATCTCAAAAAATTTGACTTTTTCGCAAAAATCTCAAAATTTGACTTTTTCTCAAAATCCTGACTTTTTCTCAAAATCCTGACTTTTTCTCAAAAATCTCAAAATTCTGACTTTTTCTCAAAAATCTCAAAATTCTGACTTTTTCCTCAAAATTCTGTCTTTTTCTGAATACTTCAAAATGTTAATAATCCCTGGTCCCCAGCTTGAGCTTCAACCTCAGGATCCATGTATCTGTGATCCTCTCCAGAATGGAAGGAGTCATCACATACAGAGCATCATCTAGTTCCTAAACAGTGTCCTTCACATGCTGATATCCAAGAGAGGGAGTTACACAGTCACAAGATGGAGGAATAGAAAGCAGTATTCAATGTTTACTTCAGATTAGCTCCACGTCAGAAATGAGCATGCTTGTCATATGTCTATCTCCATAGAGGCTGAATCATCATGTTAATCACATAGCTATCATATGCCTCAAACAGTCCTGATGCTCTTCTAGGTAATCATACATCCTGTCATGTTCACAGCTACAGTTGGGATACCTTTGTTATCATGTTACTCTCATGTTGGAAGAGGACATTCAGTATTTTCCCAACAGTTCATTTAGTACGTAGTCGTGTCATTTGCCCAACGCTGCACATTATTCCTGACTTATTATTACACAAATTACAGTCATCACAAAAACTTGAGTTTGTCACAAAGTAAAACTTTCAGTAACAGAGTTGTATGATTACAGAAGCTGCTTCCTGTTGACACAGATTACACCTTATTGTTTGAAGTTATTTATATAAACCCCTCTAGGTATTGTTTGAGTCACTGCTTCCAATTGCAAGTTATTGTTGGACGAGAATAACCAGGTTATGAAACTCATTTTCTGTTTCAAAGTTTCTCCCTTCGCTCAGCAGCTGTTCAGACATGCAGCGAATTTGGCAACAGCTGGTGTGTGTGTGTGTGTGTGTGTGTGTGTGTGTGTGTGTGTGTGTGTGTGTGTGTGTGTGTGTGTGTGTGTGTGTGTGTGTGTGTGTGTGTGTGTGTGTGTGTGTGTGTGTGTGTGTGTGTGTGTGTGTGTGTGTGTGGTGTGTGTGTGTGTGTGTGTGTGTGGTGTGTGTGTGGTGTGTGTGTGTGTGTGTGTGTGTGTGTGTGTGTGTGTGTGTGTGTGTGTGTGTGTGTGTGTGTGTGTGTGTGTGTGTGTGTGTGTGTGTGTGTGTGCGTGCTATGGTAATCAATCACTCATCTCGTGTAGAGAGAGAATAGTTTCCTCCCTCGCCCTCTAAGCTCCTCCCTCTTTCTCCCCTGTATAAACTCACCTACCCCCCCCCCCTCCCTTCAGATCTCACCTGGCTCTGGAAGGTTCTAGTTTTGAGCAGCCGGCGATAACGTGTTCTTTTCGGGTAGAGGATTAAATAAAGTGATGCTTTTGAGGTGCCTGCAGGCCAGCAGCAGTTTTGAGGAAGAGTGGGTCGCTCTGAGCGGCAAGCCCCTGCAGACCGGGTTCAGACCGAGGCCGCAGCCTGGAGACGCAGGTAGAAACACGGAGGATGGGTTATTATTATATATTTAGTGAGAGGACATCAGTGTGACGTCAGATAACCTGATAACTACGTGGTTTTTTCTGCTTGACTGGATTTATTCAGCTTTTTGTGATCAGTTAGTGCGATTTCGATATTTTTTCTATGTCTTTTATGATTTTAATTCAATATTTAGTCCGAGAACATCAGTGTTGTCCTAGAGAACCTGATGAAGTGTTTTTTCCGTTGCTTTGTTGGATTTCTGCAGATTTTTGTGATCAGTATAATTCAATCTGTAGTCAGAGGACATCAGTGTTTCTTTAAACCTGAATATTAAGTCGTTTTATTATTTATTTGTTGTATTTGTACAGCTTTTTGTGACCCCCCTTTCACTAACCTTTATAATGCAAATTATACACTTATATGTTATTCTTTCTTCGTCGATTGATTGTTTTTATACATTTTTATTGCAAAAGTTTCAGAAAAGCCTCTAAAATATGGACATTTCCGGCTTCTTTTCTTAGTTTCTTTCTTTAAGTGAAAACCTTTTAGAATCTGTGTAGATTTTGGACATTTTCCACTCTTCTGACAATTCATTCATCAAAGGATTTATCAATGATCCATACAATGATCAGCAGAGTGATCAATACTGAAGGTGATCATTGTTCCACATGTTGGGACTCTTTACCCTCCACTTATTGCACTGAGTTTCTGTCTTCAATACATTATGAATGATGATGATGATGATGATGATGATGATGAATCAATCGTTCCCTCCAATATCCTGAATATCTCGATCAATATCAGTCAGAGAAACCGCAATTTGTTCATTATAGTCACATTTGTTTTAACGGCTCTTCCTCCTCTTCCTCTCCCTCCTCCTCTTCCTCTCCCTCCTCTTCCCCCTCCTCCTCCTCCTCCTCTTCCTCCAGAAGCTCTCCACCGGCCCTTCGGCCTGGACTCTTCTCTCCTGACGGAGGCGGTGCGCTGGAGTTCGAAGGAGAACCTGTTGGGGGCGACGGAGAGCGACCCGAACCTCTTCGTGGCTCTTTATGACTTCGTGGCCAGCGGAGACAACACGCTCAGCATCACCAAAGGTAAACAACAACAACAACAACAACAACCAGGAGCTTCTGTTTGTTTGTCTGTAGGATTGACTAAAAACCACTCGTCTGATTTTCATGAGATTTAGTAGAAGGTTGTAGTACGGGCCAAAGAACACATTTTAGATGCAAATTCTTCAATTAAATACAATTATTTTTCATGTTTGTCGTGTCAGAATCATCTTAAAAGGTCTTAAATTATCTAAAGATTAGACTCCGACTTGGTCAAATGTACGTTAAAGCCCCTGCAAGTCCGAATAAATATTATCCAGAGACGTCCAGGCTTCTGTCTCTCACGACCTCTAGGTAGAAAACATGGTGATTTTATTTTTCATGTCATATTTAAGTGAGAACCAAAACATTTAATCTCCCCACCTCGGACAAAATAGGACATTTTCGTCCACTTTTTTACATCTTATGGACAAAAACACTATTCTACTATCTAGTAATACGGCCCAAAGAAAAACCCAAAG